AATGGGATGGAAAAAGAATGTTATTACAGACCTTCTTCTAATAACTCTGGACCCAATTTCCTTACCTTCCCCCTCCCTCCCGTCCCCTCCACAGTCTGAAATCCGCGTTTCCTTTCTGAGACTCTCAAGGCCACAATGGTATAAGGAAAGCCCAAGTCAGGACCCAAGTTCCAGGACCCCGATCTTTACCTATCTCCACCCTTCCATCTGGCCCCTCCCCCACTACGGCTCTTTTGTTTTTCTTCTCCTCACACCCTGACTCCTCCACTCCTCAGGGGGTGCCCCTGAGGACCCTTAACCCCCCTACATCTTCCCAGCGCCCCTGCCCACCTCTGCACATGACATGCATATACCCCAGGGCAGGAATCCTCAGCAGGGTTGGGGATGGAGGGAGAGGAGGGAGAACGAGTCAGGAGGGCTCACAGCTAGCTCAGGGTCGTGGTGCTAAAGAAGAGGGCTCCAAGTCCCTCCAATTTCCTCACTGGTGTCCCTATTCCTGCCAGTCCCAACCTACGCCAAGATTTACCTTGTTACCATGGTACACACAAACCCCAGATCCAGCTCCCCACTTCTGACATTCCCTCCACCCCCAGCCCATTCCAGGGTTAGTTTACTCCCGGAGGATCAGGAATGGCTAGCACCCTAAATTCATCAGCAGTTTCCCCAACCCCCAGCGCTCCCCAGTCTCCCGCAGCACCGCGTGTCATTAGACTGCCCAGCAGCTGGGTAACCAGCTAGAACCCCTCGACTTCCTCTTGAGCCCCCAGCCCCTGCTACTCTGCCCAAGCTCCTGCACCTCCAGCCCCTCTCCTGCTAGTCGCACACAGGAGGGGTCTGCCTCGAAATCCCAGAGGCGACCCAGACTGAGGCGCGGCGCACCGGCCCCTGCCCCCAAGCCCCCTCCTCGCACCCACTCCCTGTCCCGGGCTACCTTGCTGTCGTGGTGGATGAGCTTGAGCTCATAGTCCGGCAGGATGTCCCTGCGGCTATTCACGTCCTCCAGCGCCATCTCCACCGCGGGCTGGCAGGCCTGGCCCCCCGGCCAGCCCCCGCTCATGGGAAACAGCGCCCCGATGTACACTGCGCGCCGTTCTGAGGAGGGGTGCGGGGGGACCCGCGGGTGAGGTCGTGGGAGATGGGGGGAGTGGGAGGCCCACACCGCAGCCCCCCATGCCGCCGCCACCGCCGCCACCACCAGAACGGGAGCCACCCCACCCGGGGAGAGGGGGCCCCCGAACCCATGGTGGGGGCGGGGGCCAGGGGTAGCTGCTTGGAGATAGGGAGGAGCTCAGGGGGGACACTTTTCCTGCGGAGGGCAGCTGAGGGGGGGTGGGGCAGGCGCCCCCATCCCTGGTCTTATGGGGAGGAGGGGGCTAGGGCCCCGGAGATGCAGGGAAGGTTGGCTTCCTACAGCCCCCGTGGCCCCCTCCCGCCACCGCCGCCGC